CCCTGAACCCTCCTCCCTGCAGGCCCTGAACCCTCCTCCCTCCAGCCCCTACACCCTCCTCCCTGCAGGCCCTGAACCCTCCTCCCTGCAGTCCCTGAACCCTCCTCCTGCAGGCCTTGCACCCTTCTCCCTCCATCTCCTGTACCCTCCTCCCTCCAGCCCCTCACCCTTCTTCCTCCAGCCCCTACACCCTCCTCCTGCAGGCCTTGCACCCTTCTCCCTCCATCACCTGTACTCTCCTCCCTGCAGGCCCTGCACTCTCTTCCCTCCAGCCCCTGGACCCTCCTCCCTCCAGCCCCTGTACTCTCCTCCCTCCATCCTCTGACCCCTCGTCCCTCCAGTCCCTGCTCTCTACTGCCTCTGCCTCCAGCTCCAACTTGTCCATCCTTTGTGTATTACATGTGTCCACCACCACACCTCATGTTTCTCCCCTTTGAGACAGTCTTGTTATGTAGCTCGGGTAAGCTTCCTACTTATGATCCTTGTGTTTTAGTTTTCCAAGTGCTGGGTCCCAGGTGTGCACCTGGTGGTAAAGTGACATTAGAGCATGCACCCTAAAGCTCATCCCTGCCTCTGGTGGTGAATCGGGCCTACGTGACTAGAAACAGACCCTAAACAGTGAAGACAGCCCCCCCCCACAAGCTGTTGGCAGGATGCCTGTGGGGGGGGAGTGGGTTGAGTGCCTGGTTCCGGTCAGAGGCCCTTCCTTCCTCTGTCTCCTGTAAGATGTGTAAGGAGGCCCACCCTTGTCCCCCAAGGCCTGTTTTCTGATGTCAGGACTCACTCTGAAAGTTGACTCCTATGTCAGCAAAAGGCCGCAGGTCAGATCCAAGGCTGGGCCTTGAAGGTGGACTTCTCTGAATTAGGTTCTCGTGGGCCTGCCCTTCCCTTCAGGCATTAGGTCTTGCAGTGACCACTGGAACTTTTGGGGACAAAAAAGTCAAGGTTGCTAAGGAGAGCCATCTGGTCCAGATTGCTCACAGGATCTAGAGCAGACAGCTGGGAAGGGACACACAGCAGCAAGTACATCAGGTGGCAGTCACTAGAGATGGACACAGGGTGGCCACTGCTTCTCTGTCTTCTTCTGCTGTCACTCCTGAAAGGACACTTTGTTGAAACTCTCCTCCTCATTTGTCCCATACGATTTAGATCCTAGGTGTGCAGTTTCCTTCTACACTGGGCACATGCTGGGGTTTTATAAATCACAAGAGGAGGGATTGTGTTTATTTCTTGTTTGTTACCTCTCCAACCAAGAAGTCAAGAAATCGTTTCTCCTCTTGAGGGCGATATTGTCTCCACACAGCCTGCAGGTCTAGGGCTCACAGACAGAAGCAAGGGATGTGGATTCATAGATTCAGGGACAGGGGCTCACAGACAGAAACAAGGGATGTGGATTCATAGATTCAGGGGCAGGGGCTCACAGACAGAAGCAAGAGATGTGAATTTATAGATCCAGGGGCAGGAAGAGCCAGAAGGTGCTAGAGAACAGGTTCCTGGTACCCAGAGAGTCACTGGGAGCTTCTAAGCCATCAAAGCCCCATCCCCCACACAGTAGGAGTCTCAGATGGAGATAGGAGGTGGGCCAGGATGCTCTGCCCTACAGCACAAGTCTTTTGAGCAGTCAGAAGACAAGTTCAGAAGCCAAAGGTCAGAGATAAAATCATCCCATCCCTAGCTTGTTGCAACACCGAGGCCGGAAGTGCGAGTGGCTTAAGGAGCCACAGAAAGCCAGGATGTTACTCATTTGATAGAGCTCAGTCCTGCCATTCAGAATATCCGCACAAGCCAAGGTACTGGGAACCCAACCAACATGAGGACTCAGGAGGTAAACTGAGTCAGAGAATGAGGAGCGAGCCTGTGCGCCTGTAATTCACCCCTCTGTGCATTGTCTGCAGTAATGACTAATTACTAATGACTGCCCCGTATTTACAATGACAGCCAGGAGCAGCAGGGCTCAGCACGTTACTGTTCATTAGCCTCTAGCCATTCACGATCCACCCAATGGAGCTGTACCCAAGGCACAATGGTGGGAGCAGGGACCTGGGCATCCCTCTGAACCCCACTTCCTCTGCAGTTCC